CACAGACCCACCAAGCCTTGAAGTCTGATATCTTTCCACATTTTCATCCTCTCTTGCATTTGTCAAAGTACATGTACATTCTTCAATTTCAGACGACATCCATCTTGCTAATGAAATGATCTAATCTCTCTTAAATGTTTGGCACTTCCTTTTAATTTTGTTCCTTTTCCTTGCTCTTAATCCTCTCAAATATCTTCAGAGCTGCCTTCATTTGTTACCAGTAAATTCTAGCTAAAGAATGTAAAATTCTGCCCCACGCATAGCCAGAACTACCTCAGTTTTTGTTCTCATAGTGCATTTAAATTCAATTTTAATTCTTAAAGCTGAGCTTTCATTCATTTCTTAAACCTCAGGGCCAGAGCCTAGCAGCATATACATAAAGGAACAAGGTCTGAAAAATCTACTGGCCAAACACTGCTTTCATTAAAATATATAAGATGCTTCCTCTTAAGGATATGTGAACTCAGTTCTCTCTATGGCAAAAGACGACTCAAATCAAGCATCTTCTGACTTCCTGAGGAGACCTCCAGTTACCTGGGTGAGGGCTACTCGAAATGGAATTGGCAATGCTCCCAGTCACTTCTTCATGTCAAAGCTGAGCAGCTTTTCAAAGAACATATTAAAAGACCAGGTGAGAGGGCAACAAAGCAGAAGTTTATGCATTAAATAATCATTTCATATAAAAGAGATTTCTTCAGTTGGGGATCTAGTGCCTTAGCCACTAGGATACTACATGAGAGACTACACATCTTCTTACTCCTATCTTTTTTTTTTTTTTTTTTTTTTTTAATACAAAAAGAAACAAGATTCACCCTAAGCTTAAGAAACTGATTATAGATGCAAACTCTGCACTGTGAATCACAAGTGGAGAGTGCCACTTCTCTAGCTCAGCAGCACCTAGAAGAAGGATGACATTAAGAAACATCACGTTTCAATTCCTCTTTGGCTCATGTGGAATTACTCAGAGAATGAGGTTGGAGCATGTCTAGCCCAAGCCCTGATCAAGCAGGGACACCCAGAGGAGAATGCCCAGGTGGCTTCAGAAGATCTCCAGGGAAGAGACTCCACAGCCTCCCTGGGCAATCCATACCAGTACTCTATCACACACAAAGGAGTTTACTGATATTCAGGCACTCAATTGCCCCTTGCTTCTTGTCCTGTCCCTGGGTATTACTGAAAGGAGCCTGGCTGCATTCTTTTTCCACATTTCCCTTAGGTATTTATATAAATTGATAACATCTTCTCTGAACCTTCTGTTCTCCAGACTGAAGATTCTCAACTCTCATCATCTCCATGCACTTTACTGGACTCCTTCCTACAGTTCCATATCTGTCTTTCACTGAGGTTCCAGAACTAGACATAGTATTCCAAGTATGATTTCATCAGTGCTGAGCAGAGAAGAAGTATCCCTGAGCACGCCAAGTGCTGAGAATTACATTTTTTGGGTTGAGCACACAAGGACTTGCTGTAAGCTGTAGCATATGCAAGTGAGAAGCTACAGACTGCAATTATGTGCCTAGAAATTAGGCACTGTAGTTAAAGCAGCAAGCCTTCCTATTGCATCTGCTTTCTCATCTTAATGAATTTTTGCTGAAATGATTAATACGTTACCAGTATTTTTATGAGTAATATGTTATAGTCTTCATCACAATCATTCTGAGCTTTTATTTCTTTTTACTGTTTCTCTTCATATTTATTATAGGAACGTTATGGGAAGGAAATGTATATCACTGTCACAAAGAAAGGAAGTACCAGGAACTGACAACAGTATACCAGGAACAATATATGTACATTTCATAAAGACTGTGATTTCCTTTCCCTAAGACACTTCTGTGAATGGAAGTCAAACATGTGCTGACCTTTTTTGCTATTATGTCACTCCGAAAACACATCTGCTGGGCTGTCTGCAATCATCACAAAGGGGTTTTTGTTACTTTTTTTTTTTTTTTTTTTTCCCTAAACAGAGAGAATACAGTGTACTTTCTCCTTAACCTCATTTAGAAGTGTTTTTCCTGGACATATTCCTAATAATTTGGTCCGAAGCAAATATTGGATACACAATATTCTGGAATGATAGTCACACAGTTGCTAGCCCTATAAACAGGTTCTCAAATGTGAAGTGTCAAATAAACTTTACAGCCCACATCACCACTGTTCTTACATAAACATTTAATGAACTAGCAGTTCTCTGGTTCCTCCCATTACTTTTCTCACTCATAAAAGATTACAGATTACTGGGATAGTTATTAAGGCTCCTATTTCTAGGATCAATGTACTAGTTGATCCGAGTTTGTTGAACTTACATTCTATTTCCCATGATATTTTCACTGATCATCTATGTTAGCTCAATTTAGGAACTGAGTGGATTTTAAGGTATCAGTTCCCATTAACTCTGCCTCCTAATTTGTTTGAATACATTCAGGTTCAAATCCTTTTTAACTCATAAGTACAAACACAGCGATACAGAGTTGTCTGAGAAAACATGACTGGTGTCCATAACGGAAGAAGTCACAGTGTGAACCTTCATCTTTCCCCCTAACACAGCAGGTGTTCCTCAGTTTACCATACGTGTTTTTTACTATCTGCTTTAAATTACTTCAAGACAAGGCTTTTCTATAGCCAGAGAGCACTCTGGGTGATATCAACTGGAAGAAGCTCTCTGTTGTGAAGTTGTGAAGAAACTCAAAAGAGAATACTTGCTATTTTTAAATAAGCTGGAAGCTTATACGTAATAAGCCATCTAAAAAAGCCATGAGCAAGTAGAGTAATTTGCCTACTGAGCACCGTATAACAGAAGTCGTAGATCTTTGTACACATGAGCACTGAATTTCAGCAAATGCACAGATCCCTACACGTTTTATCTATTTAGGAAGAAACATGGATTACAATACTAATAGAAACTGGCAGGTGGATTTTTATCCTGGAAGATTACTTCCTCCTTTTTATTCAGAGTATCACAATAGGCTGCAAAACTAATTTACCTGTGCATCACACAGCATTTGTCCTTCTCTATGTAGTCTTCGTATCAGGATGTCCTGTAATACAGTTGGCTGTATTTCACTTTCACTTTTAGATATTTCCTTAATCTCCCTTACACTGATAGGCCAGGAAACAAGTTGGTTCATATATGGTTGCAACGTAACCCTCTTTGTAGAAAAGACGACAACACTGATGAATTGCACAAAGCTCCTATTAGGCTGCATTCTCTGTCCATCCTATTTCACTACTCAGACTCCTTTGTTTGGTAAAATAGGTCAGTGCACATAAAAACACTCCTTTAGGGCTGAAGAATCACGTGACCACAGCAAGCCATAAGGAATACGAATGCTAATATGGGAGGCAGCTGATTTGCACTACTTTCATGAGGCCTGGAAGACTGAAATACAACAGACACAGACCAAACTGCAAAGGAAAACACTACATGATGAATCAGAAAAAGAACAACAACAACAAAAACCACACGTGTTTCTCATCTCAGAGCTTCAGCTATCCTGAAACAGAATATGACGAATTCCTAGAATATTCAGATGCACAGAATGGTGCCTTAGAGGAAGAGAACATTATGACCCGTGTGAATACAATATAACCCCCAGTTTATAATACAATCCTGTCTGATTAACAGCTCTGCTCCATTCTTAACTGCCTCTGCAGAAACGCAAGCCTATGCATCCTTTCTTATCTATGCTACTAAGGATGCTGCTCATGTTTTTCAAGTGGCCCTTTTCAGACAAAGTTGAGTGACAGCAATTGCACTCATCCCTTTCAGAGAAGATGGCAGTTCAACTTTCTACCCCAGACAGTTACACACAGAAAATGAAACATCAAAAATGATGCTGTGAGAGTGGGATCAAGGTCTTCTCTGTCTCCAAAACAAGGAGAGATTTGCTATTTAGTGGGAAAAAAATGTAATAGTCTAAAATGTTATGTCTGATTTCAGACAGCTCAATAGGAAACCCACTGTATTGAAGATGGCAACTGGTAAAGGAAAATCTCTTTCTCAATCCATCTTTCAGGTTCTTTGTAGCTTGGGAAAAAAACAAAAACAGAAAAAAAACCATACCCTTTCCCAAGGTCAGTGTTCATGACAGTAGGTAAGACAAATGATATATCGTTTCTTCTACAGATTCTGGACCCCAAATCTGTCTTCCAGTTGGAGGCTGGCACAGACTCAGTGGATAGTAGTGACAGCTTTGTACTTTGCGGGGTGTCTCTGTGCAAACACTTTGCTTAGAGCTACCTAGAAACTCGTGTTTCAGACTGAGCAAAACCCCACTGCTTTTGAGCTGATCTGTAGATGTATGCAGTACTGTATGTATGTGGGATGTATGTGGGAAAGTTCTGGGACATCAGGAAAAGCACAGACAAATACACACACCAGCACTGAAGAAGCTAGCTCTGGCTCAGAAGCATTATCTGGGATTTTCCTTTACTTAGATAATTTTAGCCAATTATTTAACTAGACAAAAAATAACTGGCAATGTAAAAGGAGTTCCATGAAATCCATGAGATGCAGACATAGGAAACATTTATATCTGTTAAATAAAAATTGATTGAGTCATTATTTCAAATAAGATGTACAGAAATCTCTACCCATGGGAATCTGCATTTCAAAAACACAGCTATTAGGCAGTAGAGTGGAATTAGCATAGCGTTATGTAAAATACAGTAAACTGTCTGTTATCACATACAATTCAGGTCTTCTGTGATATCCCTGTGAGACAAGGGTTTAAAGTGGGGCACAGATCAGTTCTCATACAATGTATTTTGCAGTAGCAAATAAAAAAAATAGAACAGTATCAAATGATTTAATATCTTTCAAAATGAGAAATGGAAGCGTGAAACTAAAATAATTCAGAATCCATTTTTTCCCCTGTAATTGTGAGTAACCTTACAACAGAACTTGTACAGAGGGGAAAATATGATCATGGAAAACTACTTCTGCCAAAATATACTGACATGCAAGTTCCTCAGGATGTTATTGAACCACATCACTACGTTACCTTCTCCTTTTGTGTAGATTGCAATGTTTCCATTTACCAAGCCAGCAAACAGGTATTGTGACATGTACGTCAAGCTCATGACAGTTGATTTTTCAGGAGTGAAGAAGTGTTGAAGACGAATTTTCTTTGAGCCCTGGCAACTTTTGTAAATAGAAATGCTACAAAAACAAACAAACAAACAAAAAAAAAACAAAAAACAAGAAGAAGATAAGTCTGCAAAATTCTCAACACAATATTTACTAATAATATACTGGGCAAAAAATATATTCTTCTTCTGTACATAAGAAGACAAATATGAAAAGAACTATTTTGACCCTTCAGAATATCTAGCTAGATAATTTGCAGTTACTTAACAAAGACACTGGAAGTATAGGGGAAAAAAAAAGAAGCATTTATTCAATAAAGAAACATAGTTAGAATCATGCTGTAAGTTCCTTTCACAAGTCTGTCCAAAACTTCCCATTGGTTAGAAAGAAGAAAAAGGATTAAGTATTATCCATAGATCTAGGGAAAAGAGAAGAAACATTCACAATCACACATCAAATGCACTTAACATTCTGATACTTCTTACAGATTGTCACCATGGGTATGTTAGCAACACAGAATAATTAAATCTAGAATGAATTGCATTTCAAACACAAAGGCAATTAGTGCAACCAGATTTTGGAATTGTTAGAAATACAGCATTTTCCTTACACAGATTTTTTTTTTCCCTGCATGTATACAGGTTGGAAACCTCTACAAAAATTGCATATTGTTGCATAGTTAAGTTCTCATGAGTCAAAGCAAGATTTGTTCTCTTACTGAGTCACAGTTTTAGAAAATACAGCTTTTCTCAATTGGGCCATGACTCAGTAAGGTCATCAGCTCAACCAAAGCAAAATAATTCACGTCAACAGTAAATAGCAATAGTATTTATCTGCATGACAAATCCTGCACAATATCACACTGTAGGAGGTTAATGGGTTCCTCATTTAACACTTCTCCCATTTAAAAAACTTTCCAATACTTAACAATTATGCTGTAACACTGCAAAGATAATATTTATATTGTTCAGACATGATGTATGATGAATTAAGCCTCTTTCATTAAGTAAAGGTTTTATTTTTATTTTAAATAATACACAGTATATTTTAAAATCATGCAGAGCATATTTTTTCTTTAGGTGGATTTAGATAAAAATGAGGTCAATTTAAAGAAAAGAACATTTTCTAGGAAGTAACTCAAATTTTTGCTATAGAGTAATAAAGCTAATGAATAAATCATACACAGCATGCTAAAAATGAGAATCACCTTCCTTCTTCCATGCCAAGGCAAATAGTAGGCACATTAGAAGCTTTTGTAGGAACATTTTCAGAGTTGAGAGACATATTTATCTCCTTTATTTTCTCTTCTTCTGGTATGTAGACCATGCAGAGAATCCGCGATTCCACATTGAAGCACTCAATAACCTTAGGGCCAGAGCTTTGAAATGAGACTATTGCGATCTGCCCCATCTGATTAGTACAACTGCCAATCTGAATTGGAAAGAGAAGAAATAAAAATAATAGACAGAGATAGATAACTGTCTCCAGCAGGAGCAGCATTAACAAGGAGGAATATTGGAAAGTTAAAGAGGGCAAGATGAACAAGACAATAATTCAGCTCAGAATGTTTTAAAACTTAACATAAGAACACAGAATTCTCCTGTATACTCACACAAATTTTTCCTTTTTTTTTTTTTTTTAAAGGACAAATATTTTGGCCTATTCTGAAATGTACATACAGAATGTATTACAATTAGAGTGAGCAGTTGTGTAATGTATTATTTTTGAAAACCAGCATTCTTAGTTATCTCAGCTACTCTTGAAATTGATAATATAGTTGAAGCTTGTCCTTTGAAGAGTAACAGGTCTACACATAAATGCTCTGCTGCAACAGAACGGGGGATTACCAATATCACCACATACATGTTTTTCAATTTCTCCTTGATCCAAATCTAGATATCATCAATATGTTCACAAATATTTTAGGAAGCTGGGAAGAGCAGAACAATAACTTGTGCACCTAAGCACCAACACGTTTATACAGTGACTCCCTATGCACGTATGAAATGAAAAAACACGGCAAAGAAGAAGAAAATTACGCAGTAGTAGATAAACTTCATTGACATGTATTTGTGATGACTGATTTCAATTAACAAAGACAAAAAGAAAATACACAAGTCATCCTGAAAAAGACCTCTGACAAAAACTACTTTTGACTTTAACTTTTAACTTTCAAGGGTTCCAAAATGATGTCCCTTAAAATCCCAGTTTTGCAATAACAAGAAAACCTGCTGAAATTTTTAGCATTTAAAAAACAAAATAAAAATAGGCGATGCCACTTTGCTAGAATATCAGCACATTTAGGTCATAATAATGTGCTAGTACATTATTTTCCTATGTATACACTTAAACAAATTGCTTATAGCTAAAACACTTTTGAAATATGGAACAGACGAAAGGATGGTGTGAGCACATACGGCTTTAAATAGCATGTAACTCAATCTAGCAGTGCTCACCTGATTTCATTCTGTGCAACAGTAACAATTACACATAAATAGAGTACAGTACTAGTTATCTTCTACAGAAGTCCATCTTAAATAATTAAACAAAAATAATAATGATAATAAAATCCATATGCTGCTGATTGTCACAAAAAACATCTCCAGAAAGAGACAAAGTTCTCTGCAAGACTAAACTTACCCAAAGAAAACCATGTTCCATGGAACAGGAATCTGACTCTGTTTCTCCAGAGAGGTACAGTTCAGGGTTATAGGCAGCACATTCAATCTTCAAACAAACAAAAAAAAAAAATGTGGAAAGTTAAGGTTAAAAAGATATGCCTGATTCAGTTCTATTCAATCTGTAATTAACTAAATAAATCATTTAAGGATATCACAACGTCACAGAAAAGAAGCCAAGAAGTCAATCTAGCCCATCCAGTTCCAGTGGGCAGGGCCAACTGCATGTGTATCATTCCTAGCACATTCTTGTCTACTCTTACAGACATTTAAAGCTAAAGACTACAAATTATTCACCTGATCTGTACAAAGGCTTCACAGAGCTTCAAATTTCATTACTCTTTTTCCAAACTAAAGTCATCCCTGATGAAAATGCTAACCTTCTCATCTTAGCAATCAGATATTACCTTCCCTTCTATAGCATCCTTTCACATATAAGGCTGCTATATGTCATGACCCCCTTTGAGTCTCCTCTTCGTTAGGCTCAGTGAGCACGATCACTAATTCATTTAATTATTTAGCTAAATCTTGTTTTAAACTTTTTAAGTTAGTTTTTAAAATTCTTGCTTATGACTGCTGTTTTACAACTGGCATCTCCCTACCAACTCCATATATTCGGAAGTGCAGAACTATGTAAACTAAACACCCTTCTTAGGCTGACCTGTTAAATACTTACTATGCAAAACACTACATAATGATTACCTTCTCTGAACCTTGTTTGGATGCATTCCATTGGTTATTTGCACTTTGTAACAATATCACATTTTCAACCAATTCTTACCTTGTTGCTATCTTAGAAATTGCTTTTATGGACTTTCTACTCAATCATCTCCTCAATCTGTACTTGTGTAGGTACTTAATTCTGCAAGAGTGTGTGTCTGTCTGTGTGTCTGTCCTAATTACTACCACTCTCTTTATTTCTTCAAACCACTCCTTCAGGTGTTCTACTCATTTTGAATGTTAATGCTATGCTTCAAAATACCTTCACTCCCTCTCACTTCTTGTTATCGTGTCACTGTCAGTAAACTAAAAACTATACTCAGGACTTTATCATCCAGGCCATTTAAGGAAAAAATAAAAATAAAAATAATCAACCCAACCCACTCCTCAAGAATTCTGCCAGATTAAAGATCAATGCAAGTCTTTCCTTGCTCAGAAAATGAAATACCAGCATACAAGCTCTAAAAAAGGCCTTTCTTGTTATTTATATCTATTTTCTCTGGTTTCCCCTAATAAAAAGACTACATAAGCACTTCTCTATTATGAACTACTTGCACACTTGCACATATTTTTAACAGAGTAAAAAGGTTCTCGATGAGGTATGATATTATGATTTTAAAAAAGACAGCATCCTCTACAATTCACACTCATGTGCTTGTCTCAGACATCAGTGACATAATATTACTTGTGATTCTGGAAACAAGTTGGTTAGTATTAACTTACACACTTCAACAGAATCTCGCAACATCATCTCACTACACTGAGACTGTTTTTTTTTTATTTATTATTTTTTTGAAGGAAACAAGGGGTCATAACTTAAGAGTTCTAAATTTCCAGTTTGTTTTTCAGAAGTGCAACGAATTTCAAAATTCTCCCTGAAGTCAGCAGGCATTGCTGAGTGACTAGAAGTAGTAATAATGGTATGTATTCACCAAAGCAATACAGAACAAGGATAAAAGACAGATCAGAAAAATAAAAGAACTATCTTTGCCAGTCTTAGCCTGTCTTATTTAACAAATACTGATGCTGTCTACTCATAATGGTGATTTACAGTAGCTGTGACAGCTAAGTACTTCACTAACCAACGAAAAAGTTAACCTGCTGGCTAGGTATTTCTCAGGCTGTTTCTTACATCTCTATGTCACTTTATGTCTTACTCAAAACTGATGATGTTTTTCACAGTCAACTCCTAGTAGTTTAGCTCTCCATTTCAATAAGCCTTTTACACAATGATGTAAATGTGCTCTGATGGCTATTACTGACTCCCTGTACTACCAAGCAGTCTGAGCAGTATGCTAAGAGATAGCTGGATCAGCCATGCAAAGGGCTCTTCCCACCCCAACCTCTACCCCTACATCAAAACTGCAGCTGAAGCTGCAGAAAAGCAGAAGAAATATTTAGGTGATTTCATCCAGGAATATCAAGGCCACAAGAACATCAGGACTGACAGCTGGGCTTCTGTGTTCTCCTTTGGATCTGTAAAACTACCAGAGCTGTCTTGGAGCTCAGGCAAACTCTGCTTGCAAAGAGCATTACATAAGTCCACGGACATGTGACCTTCCCTTCCTTTCAAAAGAAAAAGACCCTTTTGAAACTTGATTACAAGGGATGAACCTGAGCCTTTAAGGCACTTGGCACAGACCTACAGAAATTATGAATACACAGGCTCTACAGAAATGCGAGTATTTAAAATTCCCTTTAAAATAATCGGTTTGGTTATTTATCCAACTGTGACACAGAAAATATTCAATAAACACAAATCCAAGTGTCTAGTAAGATATGAATGACACATAAATCTACATACTTTGTTGTTTGAGGGCTCAAATACTGTGTTCCTGCAACCCTCTTGGACTTTCTATCACTGCTGGTCTTATATCAAAGTACACATCAGCAGTAACTTAAGAGAACTAATAGGCGAGAACTAACAGATGTATTTACATTACAGTTTTCCTTAGTAGTGACATCACGAAAGAAAACAAACTGTAATTTCGTATAATCGTTCTATTCACCTTAAACTCCTGCTGCTTCGCCATCATCACTGGCATGTGTCTAACAAGGAGAGGATGTTTCTCCTTTTTGATTTGATTCCCATCATCTTCCACACAGAACCAACCTAACAGGTTATCCTCCGCTGTAACGGAAAGAACAAACAAACATCCCACAGCACTTTCATTGAATAACTGCTTACATCTCTCTACAGAAATAGAAAATAATTATCTTACAATTGGCTAGTAATAATCAGGTTCTTCTCATGTCATATATAATTTTGTTGGAATAAACAATAAAACTATGAGCAGAAATTCAATATAGTAGATTAAATAACTACTGTTAATGCCAAAAAAGCAACACTTAATACTAGCAAAATGTTAATGATCTTGTCAGTAGCTTATTAAAAGAGTAAAGGTACCCTTCCTCTTCCTCTTTTGAATCCTTAAAGGATACCAAACGTTTCCTCAGACCTACCAAATCTATCGTCTGCAAATATGACCATTTTTCTGCCAGCAAAGTAGCATCACTACAATCTGCTATTTATCATCCTTACAAGGATCCACTTCCTGCACTGATGATGTCCAGTTTTCTTTCTTTTTTTGTTGTTTTATCTGCCTATTGTGAGATGCCATAAAAATACCGTATTTTGAAAAAGTGCTGACAAAAGCTGCTTTCTACTTTGCATATCCTCAATGTTTCAACTTAAGCATTCAACATCCCAGGTAACTTTTGAAACTTAGGCAGTCTGAGGAAACATGGGAAACTAATAACATCATAGAACAGCACATTCCTTGTTGCTCCCACTTAGATCAGACTTATTAGTGATAATTTCTCTACTGAAAACTAAAAGCTTATACTAAAAAAACTGACTCTGGTCCCAAAGAGAAAAACTTATTTCATATATCCAACTAAAGAAATATTTCATCAAAATGTCATGAATGTTTATTTCATGCTCAGGAAGCTAAAAACAAATGAACCAACAGCTTTACTATCATTTCCTAGCTAAAATTTCTTGAGCTGAAACTGAAAAATGTGAACCTCAAAGGCATATGGCTGAAAAGATTGTAATATCTGAAAAGATATGTACACAATGGAGTAACTTCCTCATCAGTCAGACATGTAGTGTAACTTCATTCATTTTGATTTAGATATATCAAATAAAAATTATTATCATAGATCATACAGATCATCATTACTTTGTAAGTCAATCATTATTATCTACTGTATTGCAATTTCAAGATCTGTAGATAGAACTTTGTAAAAAAAATCATTTTGTATGAAAACAGTATTACACTGTACATCTTATATATTGTATTCTAACTTGATAGGAAATGTAAGAAACCAAGAATTACCAAGGGCTAGTTTAGCCATTTGCAAATTGTTGATCCAAGACTGTTTGATGGCAGGGGTAAAGGTATTGAATACAGCTGTAAAGAAAGTAGGCCGCCCAGACCTGCAAGACAAAATATTTAATAAAATAAATGAAAAACAATTACACAAAAAGAGGCCATTCTAAATGTACTAAGTATGAGATTCAGACAGGGCTAGAAAAGTCAAGCAAGACAAAAATCCAACCATCTTCCTTTATCTTAAAGCACGTAGCTCAGATAGGCAACGATAAGCCACACGTCCTTCTTCTCATGCTTTACATGAAAAGGTATGACAAGAACAATCCTCCTTGACAAATTAATATAATAGCGGCTATTCCTTGTCAAGTGCCATCACCACAGATGGCACACTCTCTTATCTTGCATCAGGAACTAAATGTTGAGGAACAGGAGAAAAACTACACTGCCGTTCTGAAACATGGAAGTTGCAAAAGCTTCAGCACGACAGTGCAATTTAGAGGCTAGCTGTACAGACAAGAGAGCAGGAAGACCTAAAGATTCCCTGGTACATCTCTATCTAACACACAAAGCCATTTAGAAAGTTTCACAATCAAGAATTACTACTGACTTGTCCTGTTTTCCTGGAAGCTGCAGCTGAATTCTACAGCGATCTGCTGCTCTGATTTCATCTTCTTTTTTCAAGATCAATTTTTGTAAACCCGAGGTCCAGTCATGTGCTACCGACTGGTTTAAGTTCTGAAAAATTGAAAAAAGAATGCTAAGGATCAATATTCATCTACCAACCTATTTCCAATGAGCTAAAGGTGATCTTTATGTACAAAGAGTTCCCAGTACCTGGCTCTCATTTAGTTCTCATTTTTTAATCATGTATAATTTAGACAGATTTGTAAACATGCTTTAAAAATGTCTGTAAAGATTGTTAACACATATTAGCTGATGATTTACTTGCACTCTGTTCAGATTTTGATGATACACACATAACACTCCCAAGGATTTGTCAAACTATGAAATGCAGATTTGCATCAATTGCTCGTACAATCCTTTTACCTCATTGCAGTGAACAGCTACCAAGAATCTATAAATTCTCTTTCTAAAAAAGAAAATCTCAAGGAAACCTCTGTAAATCACACTGCCAATGTTTTTGTTCAAATCTTTGAGGCAAAAATGTTTACGTAGCCATCGTGGAAGCTCTGTATAGTTGCAGCCCGCTTAAGTAGGATGCTGAAACACTCATTCTCTGTAACCTGAACATAACAAGTTATTCACATGCAAGAGCACATGAATTACCAATTGTTAAAATTTTATGAAAATTAAAGTATTTTTTTAAAATAAAGAAACTGACCTCATTCCTCATCTAAATTATTTGAATTATTTTAAGCAGCTCTGTCTGGAAACATTGATTAAACGTTATGTTTTTAAAATGTAGTTGGCACTGACTGGTAGCAAAAATGGAAAGGTTTTGCATATTTTGATTCTATCGTTTTAGTGGATGAAAGTCCTTCGGTATCTGTTGCACACCTCATTCCAATAATGCAGCTGAAATTCACCTCCACATTCTGGCGAAATTTTTGTCCTAACAGACTGTTTCCATAAATGTCCTCCACAGTACATATTTTCATCAATTTTTATGTTCTACTTAATGTCCTTGCCTCTGAAGTCAGGATATTCCAAGAGAAACTCAGCTTTCATATACACAAACATTTACTTACAGTCTGTGATGGCAGGTAGGAATTTTAAAATGTAGTCAAGCATACATAAAACATATAAAACAAGAGGCAAAGAAGAAAGCAATTAAAAATATATCATTGATTTATTTTTAAGTCTTATGAATGCGGAGAATGGAGAATTCATTCTGAAATTCAGTGTTAATGTTCTATATCTATTTGCTAGAACAAAGACTAAATGAAAGGAATGTGAACAAAACCAAAGCAAATTGCTTTCAAAATTCATCACAACATCTATTAACATTTTTGTGATTTGCATTTAAGTACAATTTCTCCCCAAAAGCTAGAATTATAAGCTCATATGAGCATTAAGAGCTTCCTCCAAGCAACCATCCTCCTACTACCTCATCTAACTATAGGAATCTAATTTCAAAAGACCAAAACATAATTCTGTTTCCATATAAGCTTATCAGCTACTGAGGAAATGTAGACTCTTGTTTCCACCTACACTTAAAAGCAACAAAGCAAAACAAGATTAAAAGACAGCTGTAATCTACTTACAGCATGAAACATTTAAAAGCAATTGAATTACTGGAGATAAAAATGATTTCTTTACAGAGAGAACATCTTACATTGACCCTAGGGAAAAACAACTGGGCTATTTTACAACAAGAATACATTTTAAAAATAAATCCAGCTTTGTTTATTACCTGATAATTTCCTTTAAGGCTGCCTATTAATTGACTAATTTGACCAACTACATTCAAATCATGTAAAAGGTTCTGCAGATCATGGTATAGTTGCCCTGGTCCCATATACAGCTTGTCTAAAATGAACAAGAACATAATGTTATATATAATAAAAAGATGTAATTCTCAGTTAAAGGAGGAAAGCATGACAAACAATGTTATTAACATATATCGCTACTTCTTAACACTATGAAAATTAGGTTTATGAAAATAGGCTTTGCTCTTTCTAGATCATAAAAACAACTAACGCATCAATATGCAGATAGGATCATCCAAAAATCAGTGTTTCGTTTATATGTACACCATAGCCATTTCATTTTCCTGCTCCAGGTGCTTTCGGTGTTCCTATAGACAGATACTTATGAAATGCATCATGGGAAGCGGTAGCAGTATATGTTATTGTATACTAGCTTTGCATATACAGGTGTTACCATTCTCATTTCCTTATAGTTCACCTTATATTGCCTTTTTCAGTTTGTTCATCTATTATGAAGGACATCATCATCTGTAGCTTTACTAGGAATGCACTAAAACTATGACAAAGTTTCACCGAGCCTCAAATCTGTAGATAATTGAATTTTTGCTTAACACCAGCCAGCAGGCTTGCTGTTACATGACAATGTGCACATCCTTCAAGAGGGTTGCTTCTCATTACGTGACATAGCCAAAAAAATTAACTGTAGCCTATACTAAGGTGGTTTAAAACTCCAAATTTGTTTTAGCAAAGTAATTCAGGACCTTATAGCTACATCCTAACTCTATCCATAAACCTAACTCACAAACCTATAACTTCGTTGAACCACATGAAATTTTACTGCAATCAGATAAGTGGAAAAAGGATTTGCGGTGAGGATAGCACCAAGTATTAGCAGCAGCAGAAATATCTTGCCCAAGCCATTACTAAGTACATAAGTTTACAAAGAAACACTAACTGAGAAAAAATATTCTGACTAATAGGATCAAATAGGCAGTTTAATGTGCAATATTTCTGAAGCACTGCTAACACCTTGGCTCCCAGACATGATTCTAGCAGAGGGATGGCTATACAGCTCTTGCAGAAACAACACTCTCTCCCCCCCAAGCCCCACACTGACTCACACAGCGTCGGCATGTTTCCCTTTGGAATGACAGGAACCAGGCTGGATTATTTTTCCAGGAAACCCCTGCAGATTATTTATCTCATGCAGTGCAGCATTCAAGATACAACTCCAAGCCACAGTTTTGGAAGCTAGTCTGCGGGAAGCAAATTATCCTGACCAGGAGGTTTTCAAGACTGTGCTGGCAAGAATATGAAGTAAATCTAATTCTAGCTACGTAGACCACGTCTATGTGCCAAACCCCGTCATATAAGGAGAATGCTTTCAAAATATGGTTTGAATTTTGAGTGCTCCTGAGGTCTCAGTGGCTCTTGTGGGTCCCTTTTAACACAGGATATTCTGTGATTTTGCTTTTAATCTGAGGACTGCAGCTGGTGGAAGACCGGGAGCACTCACTGGCATGCTGCTGATCCAAGGCAGCCTCTTTCTCCCAGGTAACTCCACAGCCTGCTGCAGGAGCACAGGGGCCCTGGCCTGCAGGCTGGCAGCAGCACAGGGATGGCCACATTGTGCCATGTGTGGTGGGCAGGGCAGATGGATGTCAGCACTGCGTGGCTGGGACCAGAATGGAATAAAACACCAACCAGGAGCCCAACAAAATACAAAAGACCAAACACAACACTATCATACAGATCAAGGCCATCACTGGACGTTTACATAATCCACTACATTAAGGCAGGAATCCGTCTGAATTCTTGAAGGCTGAAAAATCACAAGATCTAAGGGAAATGCTAAGGGTTACTTAATTTACGAATTCTCCACTTTACTGCAGGAAAACACAATGTAAACTGGAGATCTTGCTCTTGCCCAGAAAACTGAAAATTACTCTCATGCTTTTAGATGTTCTCCTAAAGGGAATGAAAGGATTTAGAAACAACTGCACTTACACCATTTACCCAAGCAGAGAATAGATGCAACTTTCATCCACTCTCCTTTGCCTGTTCTGAATGTTAATTGAAAGCACAATGAAGCCTTTCTTATCCTCACAAACAAATCAGTCTTTAGGAAAAGATCATTATATTTACTGTATGCAATGAAAGGAAATAAATCCAAAGTAGACAGACCTAGGAGGAAGAGCTTTTAGGTGCTGGTCAGAATTGTTTTTTTTTATACATATTTACACATACACAATACAAAATTTTAACACTTCTGCAATTGTAGACAATGAACTTTCATTAGGCTGCATTTTCATTTTCTCCACTCCAAATACTTGAAAAAACAATATCTGAAAATCTCTCCTTGAATCTCTCTTCTTCTGCAAGGTTAAGCCTTTTTACTAAGTAATCTCAACAATAATTACCAATTAGAATTCCTAGTTCTTAGTCAAATCAAATTGCTGATTTCAACTGGGCAACACTCAGGGTTATAAATCTGGTAAAATCTGGTTGAAATCTGAATAATACATTCAGCATTGTAAAGAACACAAATGAAATAATTTTTGCCACAAATTTCTGTACCAAAAGTTTACAAAACAAAATTAAGCCTGATTCTAAGTAATTAGTAGTTAGTCGAGTTTCTGGCAGAAGCCTGTTCACCTACACGTCATTTATAAATTCCACAGCTAAACAAAGCAAACTGCTGCACTGGAAAACACATCACAAATACTTCCAAAATTTATACTCATGGGGCTGACCAACACAAAACTTAAAGCCACAATGTTGTGAAGAGCTGAAAAATTGTGATAATTCCCTTGTATAGGATGGATACTTTCACCTGAGTGAATTTCAGCTATATTACTGATGAGCTGAGAGAGCTAGAGCTCTTCAGTACAGGGAAGAGAAGTCTCTGGGGGGACCTTATAGCAGCCTTCCTGTACCTGAAGGGGACTGACAGGAAAGCTGTGGAGGGACTTTTTACAAGGGCATGTAGCAACAGGATGGGGGGGAAATGGCTTTAAACTGGAAGAAAGTAGATTTAGTCTAGATATCAGGAAGGAATTTTTTATTGTGAGGGTGGTGAGACACTGGAACAGATTGCCCAGTAAGGTTGTGGATGCTCCATACCTGGTGTTCAAGGCAAGGCTGCATGGGGCTTCAAGTTACCTTGCAGGTTTAATTCCTGCCCATAGCAGTGGGGTTGAACTTGACCTTAAAGGTCCCTTCCAACCCAAACCATTCTATAATTCTATGACTATTTCTGAAGTTTAAAAGCCAGAATCACTCCTTACAGCTTCATAAAGACAGAGTTAAAAGCAAATCAGAAATAGGACACTATTCAGCAATGTACAATAGCAAGCATTCAGTCAGAAAGACTTTGTGCTGTAGTCTTCAGAATAGGCCATGCAGCAAGTTTTAACTACTTATATCTGCTGATTTTCCTTGTGCTGCTATCACACCAGAAAACAGATCTCCTCTACTCCCTACTGCATCTCCAAATGCTTTTATAAATATTCTAGTTTCAGCCTTGAGAATAAGGGATAAATCTTGAATTTCACTCACTAATGGCCACCTGAGTCTATTTTGTCTGCATCATGCAAGTTTTATAATATTTTAATAAATCAAGATAAAAAGGAAGCAAAGAGAATGTCAAAGCAAATAAAATAACCTGGCAAATGAAACTCTGTCATTTAGAAAAAACAAACTGAAGTCATTTTAAGATCAACCATTAAAGGGCAAGTTCTTAGTATAGAAAAGAAAACAACAACAAAAAACAGTAAATAAAGAGTGCCTGTTTCCATCTTTGATGTCCCAAGATGACAAATTAAAATGAAATTGTAATGGTCAGCCACAGCAGATATCAAAAGCCATGGCAATTGTTCTTTCCTGGAGGTCCTTAGTAGGCAGAAAATGAAGCAGAAAAATAACTGAGATCATAACAATGTCCTCATTGGAAGAGAATTCTCTTAGATTTCACCACTTGATTTCTGTCAGGATGATGGATTAAAAATTACAGTAACTTCACCACTGAACTGGGTCCTGAAAGGGCTACATCTTTTAAAACAGAATTGGGTTGCAGAATCCTTGGTGGCTAACAATACATTAACTATCAGTTGACTCAGCTCAGAATTGTCTGATGGATGATATTTCCTGGGTGAAAGTAGGTGGTAGTGGTGAGGGGGGGGGAATTCAGTCTGTTCATCAGATATGTTTCTCAGTGCAGAGCCAAAGTTCTGCCCTCTAAAAATGTTCCCTGACCATTACATTGGTGGTTAGCTTGAATGGGTGTTCTCTCTTTTTCTCCACAGAAAGCACTGATAAACTCTTGGTTTCATTCCAAGGCAGATGATACGGTAGATTATTTTTTTTGTACTTTGAAAAGTTTTAGAAATGATAAAGTCATTTCCTTCCCATTTCTAAGCCACTCCTGCTATCAAGCTCCAAAACAATTTTATTGTATTTTAATGTGGGGGAAAAAAAAAAAAAAAAAAGTAACACAGGAATTCAGGGATAGTTTTTCCCATCTCCACACATTTGACATGCTGCAGAGAATGGTGTGCTTGGGCAGAAGGAGAATGCCATCTGCTGTAACCAATAACCATGTATCTCACTTAGGATGCAAAGTTTTGCATTCCACCTATAGATCAAGGGTAAAAGCTTGGCATGACACGCAAGTCAGTAGAGGAATTTTTTCATGAAATTCTTTGTTGCTAAGATATCACCAGAAGAATTTGTGCCTCCTTGCAGCAGGCAAGTTTAGTGCCAACAACCAAAAATTCATGCAAAATGCCTAATCTCTTACTCAGCATTATTTTTTAAAGTATTCAAGACAGATCCATGAAGAAAAAAAAAAAAAAAAGCTACCAATTTCTTTAAAGGAAAGGAAAAAAAAATTAATTTAATTTTTGCTGCTAAGTTAAACTGATCCTTGGTAGAGTTTATGTGAGTATAATACTAAAACTTCTACCTGCTCATTTCCCAGCCCTCTGTTCTGGACTATCATGTTAAATTCACCAACTTTACCTGATTTGAAGTAATTATAATTGAAGCAAAAGCAATTTCAGCCCATTAACATCAATCCACTCACAAAGCCAGCAGGAAACT